TGCCAAAAGGCAGACAGATCTCTGTGAGTTTGAAGCCAGTATGGTCTACAAGAGCTAGTTTCAGGACAGGCTCCAAATCTACAAGAAAAACACTGTCTCAGAAAAAAAAAGGAAAGAATATATAGAAAGAAAGAAAGAAAGAAAGAAAGAAAGAAAGAAAGAAAGATTCTCTGTGTATCCTAGACTCTAGTCTAGGCTGGCCTTGAACTCCAAACTGCCTGCCTCTGCCACCTAATGGTTGAGATTAAAGGTGTGTACCACTTCTGGCTGTTTTCAATGAATAAGTTAATCATAGTTATAGTCTAAGTTTTTTCCTGTGTTTAGATCTGATCCAAAATCAACAAAATCCCTGATGGAGTAAGATTAGACTCAGTTTTAGAATCAGAATATGGAATTAGTCTGGGAGGGCGTGACTACAAAGGGGCGGGTTCAGTGGGAAGGGTTATAAAGAGTCAGAGTGGCCAGAGAAACCCTCAGAGTCTCTGAAACCTGGAGACGAGACGTTTCCCCGCCTGAATTTGGAGGCCTATCACCAGTATCCAACTCAGGTAAGTCCCTTAGCTCCACCATCTATGCAGCCCAGTCTAGCCTTGTCTTGCTTCAATAATGTGTGTATTCTTTTAGTTTGTAGGGAATTCTGTTTCTTTTGCTTTTGGAGGTTTATTTATTGATATATATTGAGCTCTACATTTTTCTCTGCTCCCCTCCCTGCCTTTCCCCTCCACCCTTTAATTCTCCCACAAGGTCCTCATGTTCCCAATTTACTCAGGAGATATTGTCTTTTTCTACTTTCTACTTCCCATGTAGATTAGATCTATGTAAGACTCTCTTGGTGTCCTCATTGTTGTCAAGGTTCTCTGGGATTGTGGTTTGTAGGCTGGCTTTCTTTGCTTTAAGCTTAAAAACCACCTATGAGTGAGTACATGTGATAATTGTCTTTCTGTTTCTGGGTTACCTCACTCGAAATAATGTTTTCTAGTTCTATCCATTTGCCTGCAAAATTCAAACTGTCGCTATTTTTTCTTTTTTGTTGTGTAGTACTCCGTTGTGTAAATGTACCACATTATCCATTCTTCGATCGAGGGGCAGTTAGGTTTTTTCCTGGTTCTGGCTATGATAAACAAAGCTGCTATGAACAGAGTTGAGCACACGTCCTTTTGGCATGATGGAGCATTTTTTGAATATATACCCCAAAATGGTATTATTTGGTCGTGAGGAAGGTTGTTCCTAATTTCCTGAGAAATCACCACACTGACATCCAAAGGGGTTGTACCAGCTTGCGTTCCTGCCAGCAATGCAGAAGTGTTCCTTTTTCCCCACAAGCTCTCCAGCATAAGTTGCCATTGGTGTTTTTGATCTTGACCACTCTTTCAGGTATAAGATAGTATATCAGAGTTTTGATTTGCACCTCTCTGTTGACTAAGGGTGTTAAACATTTCCTTAAGTGTCTTCCAGCCATTTTAGATTCCTCTGAAAGTTGTCTGTTTAGGTCTGTACTCTATTTTTTTTATTGGATTATGTGTTCTTTGGGTGAGCAGTTTCTTGAGTTCTTTGTATATTTTGGAGATCAGACTTGTCTGTGTGGTTAGTGAAGATCTTTTCCCATTCTGTAGGCTGTAGTTTTGTCTTGTTGACCTTTGTCTTGTTCCTGCTTTGTAGAAGTGTTCAGTTGCAGGAGGTCCTGCCTGTGCTGCTGGGATTATATTTATTTAGGAAGTGGTCTCCTGTGCCAATGCTTCCAAGTGTGCTTCCCACTTTATCTTTTTCCTTTTTCTTTTTTGTCTTTTTGAGACAGGGTTTCTCTGGCTTCTGTCCTGGAACTAGCTCTTGTAGACCAGACTAGCCTCAAACTCACAGATCTGCCTGCCTCTGCCTCTGTCTCCCAAGTGCTTGGATTAAAGGCGTGTGCCACCACAGACCAGTTTTGATTGTATTTTAATAAATAAAGCTTGCCTCTGGAGAGTAAAATTGCCACATTGGTCAGTCTTACAGCCAAGCATTGATAACACAGCCCGTTAATCCCAATAGCATCACTAGTTGCCATAGAAACCAGCAGTGCATGACTTCAATCCCAGCTCTAGAGAGGATTATAAAATGGAAGGAGACAGTTCTCACAGTCTCATTCTGAGATTCCTGGAGGCAAGATCACCATTTTCATCTTGAGCTTTTGGTAAGAGACAGAGACTGGCTGCATTGCTATTCAGATCTTTAGGTTGAACCCAATTTCTCTGAGTTTTTACTAATCCTGCTTCATATAGCACCCAATTGTTTTTTATGTGAGTTTATGAAAAAGTTGTTTGCCTGAGTCTTTTTTGGCCACCATTTCAGGGACTGGAATTCTAGCTCCAGGAATTTGAGCCCAAACCTACCCACCTGGGTTCAGGAGAAGCATTTGTGATCCCAGCTCCCATCCTCCCTGGTTTAGCTTCCTCTCCTGCTGTGCTTATCCTTGCTGCAACCCTGACTGGCACCCACATGAGGAAACCATCAGTAACAGAAAGCTGGTAAACCAGAAGAGGTAATTGAGTGAGGGGGCCATCTTCCAGCCCCAGGAAGAGGCAGAACCTAAAGTGCTGGCCACATGGTCAAGTGCAGCTTTTTCATAACCATCTTTTTTTTTTTCAGGAAGGCTGGGTTTACTTTTTTTTTTTTTTTTTAAAGGAGCTTCCTGACTAAGCCTTAGCAGCAATAAACTCCCAGAGGGTTTCTCTGTATTTTTGGCTGTCCACAAACTCAATGACACTCTGCTTCGAACTCAGAGATCTGCCTGTCTATGCCTCCCTAGTGCTGGGATTTAAGGCTTGTGCCACTATGCCTGGTTTCCTCCCAGCTCTTTTGAGATTCTCTTTCACCTACACTTAAATGGTGTTAATGAGCAGTACACGGGCTTCTTGGTAGTGGCTAGGACCTTAACGCCAGACTTGTAACAAAAACATGGCTACCGCTAGTGTCACCATGAAGCTAGACTATTAATATTAGGAAGCCAAGGAATGGAGCAGAACCAGCTGCCAAAGCTGCAGCTCTAATCCTAGCCATGCTGTTTAGCAGATTAGAGACTCTGTGGTCAGAACAAGATAGAGATGCAGGAAAGACAGATTAAGGTGGGGCAAGAAGGCTATAAATGTTTTACAATGGGTTCAAAAATACATGTAGGCTTGTGAGAGAAAAAGGATGAAGCCCTTAAAATAAAGGAGATGGGTGTGGCACATGCCTTTAATCCTAGCACTTGGGAAGCAGAGATAGGGAGAACTGAGTTCAAGACCAGCCTGGTCTAGAGTTAGATCCAGGACAGCCAAAGAAACACAGAAAACCTATCTCAAAAAGCCAAAATCAGCGCTAAAAGACATTTGAGTAGATAGAAGTCTGCTGGAATTAGTCCAACCTAGATATTTGAAAAAGGCCGTGAGGTCAAAATTTTTAATCCAAAGGATATTTTACTTTGGAGAAGTTTTGCTTTTGGTTCCACATGAAGCGAGAGGCTGTAGGTTCATTCAGTGTTTAAAAAAAATAAGAATTCTTCAAGAGAGACCCCCTGAAATATCTCATAGGGACAGATGGCCCAGATGATCCAACGCTTTAGAGCACCTCTGTTGCTGTTTCGTCTGAGTTCCACCTCCACAGTAGTTTCAAGACTGCTGCTTAGATGATCCAGCCTCACCGAATAATCCAATCAGGACTTGACCATAATCCTAAACATTCTTTGTGTCCCCCATAAGATAATTAGTTCCTCCAATCAGCAGGAAACACACTGGACAACTATGCCCCCATTTCCCAAAATTGGATTATGGATGGTCTGTCTTTGTTTAGTGTGTTGGTTACAAGTTATGGATAATGGTCAGGAAAACAACTAAACAAAGGAAATTAGATTCAATGTTTTTGTGAGAAGAGGTTTCTCTACATAGCTTTGTAGGCTGTCCTGGCAGTAGCTCTGTAGACCAAGCTGGCCCTGATCTGAGAGATCTGCCTGCCTCTGCCTCCTGAATGTTGGATTAAAGGTGCGTGCCACCCCCAACCTCCCAGTGACAATGCTGATCTTTTTGTCAGTTTAAGATTGGTATTTTTCTTTGTGGGGGATATAGAGCTTAGTAGCGGGTGATGTAAGGAAAAAGACGAAGGGAGAGGGAGAGAGGGGAAAGGAGAGAGAGGCAGGAGCCAATTTTCTGAAGGGAGGCTGGGAGAGAGAGAGAGAGAGAGAGAGAGAGAGAGAGAGAGAGCGCCAAACTACATATTCTTGAGCATGCCTTAAATCCCAGCGGTAGGGAAGCAGAGGAAGGCTGATACTTACTTGTGAGTTTGAGATCAGCCTGGGCTTCACAGTGAGTTCCAAGCCAGGAGGTTTTGGAATGCTATTTCATCCCAGCATGTAGCAGACACAGGGAGGTGGATGTCTGATATGGAGACCACCCTGGTCTACAGAGATTTCCAGGACAGCCAGGGTTCACAGTGAATTCCAAACAGCCAGGGTTAATATCTTGTTTTGAAATTGAAAATGAAAAAAAAAAAGTCTTTGCATCTGTCGATTGATGCATGGAGCCTATAGTGTCCTCGAATTTGCAGAAAGCAGCCTGCTTCCATTCAGTGTCCAGCTGACATTAAATTAGAAATCCTACCCCCTTCAGTCTTACTAGTTTCAGAAGGACTCAGGAAGCCATTCTGGTGCTTTAGAAGTAAACAGTTGTGGCAGTGTTTTAGGGAGTTTCCTTCCTCCAGAATGTGAATAATCGTTTCCATCTCTAGTCCTCTCCTTTTTAGTTTTATTTTTCTTTTTTGCCTGTTGTCCTCCTCTTTCTTTGGAGAGACTGCACACCACAGAGAGGTGAATCGTGGCTTTAACTCCAGCAGAAGGTGATGAGAATTGGTAAACAGATCTCAACAATCCCTCAGCACTGACTGCCCTGACAGCTCCCTGTGTGTGCAGAAGGACTTCCTAAGTTTACAGTCATTAATGGTCTCTTTCTTTGCCTGCTTCCCCAGGATCATTTTTCCTGAAACCATTCACAATGAGAGATCTAGCCCCACCAACACTTCAGCAGCTAGCATTCGAGACCCTACTGAAGAATGAGGCCTTGGCCATTTCTGGTCTGGCAGACTGGCCCTGGATCCTGTTCCCAGCAGCATTTGAGAGGGCCTTCAGGAACAATCAGACCAACATCCTGCGGGCCATGGTGCCTGCCTGGCCATTCACATGCCTTCCTGTAGGAGTCCTGATGAAGACCCCACACCTGGAGACTTTGAAAACTCTGCTTGGTGGATCAGATGTGCTGATTACAGAGGAGCCTTGCCCCCGGTAAGCAAGATTCAGCTCGGTTGGAGGAGGCTCTGTGTGTACAAAGCAAGACCATGTGGGGCCTAGGACTATTTGGTCAAAGAGGGTTGAGAATTCTAATAGCATCTGCTTAGAGGATTCTCGAGGCTTTGGCCTGGTCTCAGCCATCTTGGCAATAATAATGTGGAGAAGACGAGAACAGCCACTGAGGATCCCTCAAGGGTGTCTGTCACTCAAAGTTCCAGGTGGAATGAGGCTGGGATTAAGGGGACTGGGAGGACGTGGGACAGGGCTGAGGATGCCTCCCTGGTAAAGTTCTCTTTATACTGAGCATGAGGTCCTGGCCTTGATTCGATGCATAGGAGAAAGCAAACTTTTGGAAGGGAGAGCTGATGTGAGATGTGGATGAGAAGAAGACTGTAGGGCTGGAGAGATGGCTCAGTGGTTAAGAGCATTGCCAGCTCTTCCAAAGGTCCTGAGTTCAATTCCCAGCAACCACATGGTGGCTCACAACCATCTGTAATGAGGTCTGGTGCCCTCTTCTGGCCTGTAGACATACACACAGACAGAATATTGTATATATAATAAGTAAGTAAATAAATAAATATTTAAAAAAAAAGAAAAAAAGAAGACTGTAATATGTATGTTATTTGCTGAGATTGCTACCTGTTTCTCCCACAGCCGCGGGAAAATCAGAGTGCTGGATTTGACAAATAGGGATTCCTGTGTCAATCGAAGTCAATCCTGTGAAAGGGAAATCTTTTATCAGTTCACGAGAGAGAAGACAGTGGAGACGTGTCCTTACTTGCGAGTAAAGAAATATTTAAATGTCATAACTGACCTAAAAATCACGAAGAGTGGGTGCAATGAATGTACCACATACTTGTGGCGATGGGCCCAGCAGAGACAAAGTTCTGTTCATTTGTGCTGTCCAAAGATTGATATTTTGACATCAGGATACTTTCCCACTGCCATAGACTTTTTAAAGTCCGCAGATCTCCACTGTGTAAGGGAGCTGCAGTTGAGATATATATCGATAAAAGCCATGGGTCCTTTTGGACCGTACCTGAGACGGATGAGAAACCTTCACACACTCCATTTGCTGTACATTCAGAAGGATTCAAACATCAGTGGATCTGAAGAGCTGGAAGAGGAGTGCATGAACAAATTGGTATCACAATTACCCAAATTCCACTGTCTCCAGCATCTCTATATCAACTATTCTCCTGCTCTAGTTGGCAGCCTGGCTGATTGTCTCAGGTAAGGAAGGATAAAGAGAGCTTCTCCAGACAAATAACCCACCTTTGGCTTATAGGTTAGGAGGTCCTTGAACGTCAGGCTATGCACTATCAACCTTCTACACCCAAGGAGATGAGCTCTGTGCTAAGACACCTGTGACCAGCCCCAAGGGTGCCGATAATTGCTCATTAGAGAAAGGTTGATGGGTGCATAGAAAGGGACTGAGTTAGTGGGAAATGGGTGACACTTGCATTGAAGTTGTGGGACCAGGACATGGCAGTGGTGAGGAAAGGACGTCAGGGGACCCTACAGGGAAACCGCTATGGCATCACTGAAGCTCGCTTGGGGGTAGGTAGTCCTTACAGTCTCCATATTCAATCCTCCTGATAGGAAAATCGCTGGTTTTTCTCCTGTGGCCTGAGCCTGGCCCATGCTAGATTTCTGTGATTTTTGTGAGCTGACCACAAAAGGGAGAGTCATGGGCGTTGACCTCCTTCAGAATGGATGCGGGAGAAGTACCATCTGCTACACTGTCAGTTCTAACAATCCTCTTCAACTCCATCTGACAGAAATCTCATTCTCTCTCTAGGTGCCTGAAGAAACCCTTGGAGACCCTGTCCATCACTCTCTGTTACATCATACAGAAAGACTTGGATTACCTGCCCCAATGCCTGAACCTTTTTGCACTTAAACATCTCGACCTGTCTTACACAATGTTGGACAGGAGTATTAAGCCACTTGGCTATCTCCTTGAGAGAGTAAAAGACACCTTGCAAACCCTTGACCTGGCCGGATGTCGGCTGAAGGATTCTCAATTTAGTGCTTTGATGCCTGCCCTGAGTCAATGCTCCCAGCTTTTCATGATCAATTTGTATATGAATGAACTGTCTCTACCCGTGCTGAAGCAAGTGCTTCACCACACAGCCAAGCTGAACAAGCTAACCGAAGAGACATACCCTGTCCCTCTGGAGTGCTATGATGGATGCCGTGTGCTTGTACGCAGATTTGATGAACTTGGTCCTGAGCTTCTGGATATACTGAGGTCCGAAAGACAGCTCAAGGCAGTCTGTTTTAACGCAGCCGTTTGCCGTAAATGTTGTGTGCGCTATGCCTATGACCTGAAGGGCAGTCATTGCTGGGGAAATCCTGCTGCGGCACATTGCCCCGTGATGCCGAGGGAATACTCTTATGAGCTATGGTTGAAATCCTTTGGATTATTGAACCGTTAGACTGCTCCCCACAGAGACCCACCCCTACCATGAGTAGCAGTGCCCTTCTGTCCACTGCACCAAATAAATGTGCTGTGATTCTGGTTTGCTGGTGTAAGCTTCACAGCACACAGTCCACTCATTCCCAGAATTCTGTTTCTGTTTTTTTCTTTCTTCATCCTACTCACCTGTAAGTCTCAAAGCTGTATGGGCCATGAAATTCTTTGGGACCCAGGGCACATGACCTCAGACCCTTCAGTCTAGTCGTCTGAGTTCTAAGATTGCTAACCATTACCAGGAGGCCCGGCTTGTAAGCCTCATAGCAGTGGGGCCTTATTCTTCAAAGCTCCTACCCTGTGGTTGTGGCTGGTGACCTTCACATAAAAACATCTTTTAGAGGGGCTGAGTAGATGGCTCAGTGGTTAAGAGCACTGACTGCTCTTCCAGAGGACCTGAGTTCAATTCCCAGCAACCACATGATAGCTCAATCCTCTGATCGGGTCTCCTCTTCTTGTGTGACAGGCAGAACCCTGCATCATAATAATATACATAATAGTAATCATAATCATTGAAAAATATTCATTACTTGGGCATGTTTCATTTTCTTGGTCTCTAAGAAGTGTACTTTAGCCCTGCAACTGTATTTTCTGTATTTTGGTGTTGCTGTCCCTGAAGCTACCCTATTCCCTTTGTGTAATTTGGTGCCACATTTTTCTTAATCAGGCTTTTTGTTGTTAGAAAATGATGAATAGAATCCTCCACTCATTCATCACAGGTATTTTGTGCTTATTTCCCTAAACCATGACTGAAGGAATGTTCAAGGATACTACAGGGGCTGGAGATATGGCTCAGTGGTTAAGAGCAGTGACTGCTCTTCCAGAGGACTCGGGTTCAATTCCCAGCACTTCCCAGCACCCACATGGCAGCTCACAACTGTCTGACGATCCAGTTGCAGGGGATCTGACACCTTCACACCAATGCACATAAAATAAAGTTAAATAAAGCATGAAAATATTTAAAAAAAAAAGGATACTACACACCCAAGTAATATTGGGTACCAAGTGATAACCAAGAGGGACAATGTCCTTGTATTTGACCCTTGCTAGAATTTCAAGTTGACATTATTTACAATACACCAACATTCAGAGACCTAATCTCACAGTGGGATGGGCACAGTGGAACCCCAAGATATGTATTTCTTCATACACCCAGAAGGGTTTGTATACTGGCTAGGAAGAGCACTTTCTTTAGCATATCCCCTGGTAGAGAGATGTCAAATGCCATCCCATAGGAGTCTTACATCAATCCATCTGCTGAGATCTGAAGCCACTCTCAGTTGTTGCAGCCTTTTAGGTTCTTGACAGCGTCACACCCTGTTTCCTGCCTGTATGCATGGCAGACAGTAATACGTCCCTGTAAAAGATGCATCTCCACCCATTTCACTTTCTCTCTCCCTCTCCTGTTTCTGCAGATGTTGTCCCCAGAGAGTGGTCCCTTCCCTGCCCTCTCCCCTTCTGTCAGTAAACTTATCAGTTAAACTCTTTCTGCATAACCCCTTTGTCTGTCCCTCACTTGCCTTGGGCTCTCACCTGCCACCAAGGCAAACACTTGTAAAATAAAAAAGTAAATCCTAACACATACATACACAAACACAAATAACCTACATGAACTAGAACAACCACACACACACACACACACACACACAACCTACATGAACTATAACAACCTCATTTAACAATTGAACTGTTGAATTTCACTATGGCATTCTCACACATACACATAATTTACTTTGTTCTTATTCATTGACTTCCCCCATTCTCCTCTCTCTGTTTCTTTCTTGTCCTCCTACAATGCTGAAAGCTTCATTATTCACGCCCCTATTGATTTTGCACTTACACATATAAATAGTCCCAATCAAGAAGACTCCCTCTACCCAACAGCCAACCTGCCTACCTACACTCACTGGAATTCAAACTAAATTCACATTTTATATCTTCAAGCATGTGCTGAGCTGAATATATCTAAGTATCTAAAACACCTTCCAGTAATGGAGAAGTCAAGGCTATATAACAAGAACTTACCTGCACCTCCCCCCTTTTCCTTTCGTATATCCCCACAAACAGACCAAGCCACACAATTGTCACCCACATGCACAGGACCTAGGCCGGTCCTCTGCCTGCTCATTAGCGGTCCATCGAAAGTCCATGACCTCCAACCAGCTCAGGTCACCTGTCTCTGTGGGTTTTCCCATCATGATCTTGCCCACCCCATCCCTTGCTCATATAATCCCCTAACCTCTCTTCAACTGGTCTCCCAGAGCTCGGCCCAGTGGTTGGCTGTGGATCTCTGCATCTACTTCCATTGGGTACTGGATGAAGGTTCTATGATAACAAATAGGGTAGTCACCAATCTGATTACAGGGGAAGGCCAGTTCAGGCACCCTCTCCAGAATTTCTAGGAGACTTGTGGATCCTTGGGAATTTCCCTAGCACCAGGATCCTCCCTATTCCATAACAGTCTCTTCTATCAAAATATCTCTCTCCTTACTCTGCCCCTCCATCCTGCCCCCATCTCAGCCATTTAATCCCTCATGTTTCAAGCCCCTCGTTCTCTCTCTTTTCTCTCCCCCCGTTTCCCAGGATATCTCATCTATTTCCTCTTCCCAGGGAGATACATGTGTCCCAGTTATGATCCTCCTTGCTATGTAACTTCTCTGGAGCTGAGGATTGTAGTGTGGTCATCCTTTGTTTTACATCTACTGTCCACTTAGGATTCAGTACATGCCATTTCTGTCTTTCTGAGTCTGGGTTACCTCACTCAGGATAAATTTTTTTTTAGTTCCATTCATTTGCCTGCAAATTTCATGATATAAATGTTTTTCTGCTGAATAATACACCATTGTGTAGATATATCACATTTTTTTTATCCATTCTTCAATAGAGTGTCATCTACGTTGTTTCAGGTCCTGGCTATTACAAATAATGCTGCTATGAATACAGTTGAGCAAGTGACCTGTGGTATGGTTGAACATCCTTTGGGGTATATGCCCAAGAGTGGAATTGCTTGGTCTTGAGGTAGATTGATTTCCAGTTTTCAGAGAAACTGCCATCCTGATTTGCAAAGTGCCTGTACAAGTTTGCACTACTACCAGCAGTGGAGGATTGTCTCTCTTACCCCTCATCCTCTCCAACATAGGCTGTCATTAACATGCTTTATCTTAGCCAGTCTGACAAGTATAAGATGATATCTCAGAGTCGTTTTGATCTTCATTTCTCTGGTAGCTAAGGATGTTGAACAGTTCTTTAAATGTATCTTGGCCATTTGAGACTCTTCTGTTGAGAATTGTCTATTTAAATCTGTACCCCAATTTTTATGAGATTATTTTGTGCCTTGATGCCTAGTTTCTTGAGTTTCCAGATTTTTATTCCATACTTTTGAATCTGTTGAGATTTGCTTTTTAACCAAGTACGTGGTCTGTTTTAGAGAAGGTTCCATCGGGTGCTGAGAAGAAGGTATATACTTTTGTGTTCAGTTGAAATGTTCTGTAGAAATCTGTTATGTCCATTTGATTCCTTACATTGTTAGTTCCCTTATTTCTCCATTAATTTTCTGTTTGGCAGACCTGTCCCCTGGTAAAAATGAAGTCTCCCACTATTAATGTATGAGATTTGTATTAGATTCAAGATTTCTTTTACAAATGTGAGTGCCCTTGTATTGGGGGCATAGATGAAGAATTGAGCCTTCATCTTGAAGGATTTTCTCTTTGATGAATATGAAATGTCCCTTTTATCTTTTTTATTAATTTTAGTTTGAAGTTTAATTTGTAAAATATTAGGATAGCTACACCTGCTTACTTCTTAGGTCCATTTGATTAGAAAATCTTTTCCCAACCATTTATTTTGTGGTAATTCTGTTTTAAAGTTGAGGTGTGTTTCTTGTTAGCAGTAGAAGGATGTATACACTTTTCTTTTTTATTTTGTTTCAAGACAGAGTTTCTCCTTAGCTTTTTGGTTCCTGTCCTGGAGCTAGCTCTTGTAGACCAGGCTGGCCTCGAACTCACAGAGATCCACTTGCTTCTGCCTCCGAGTACTGGGATTAAAGGTGTGCGCCACCACTGCCTGGCTCTCTTCTTTTTTAAAAGATTTATTCATTTATATTTTATACAGTGTTCTGCCTCTATATCTGCCTACATGCCAGAAGAGGGGTCCAGATTTTATTACGGATGATTGTGAGATACCATATGGTTTTTGGGAATTAATCTCAGGAACTCTGGAATATCATCCAGTGCTCTTAACCACTGAGCCATCTCTCTAGCTCCAAATACTGTTATATTATACATTTTGCTAGCCTGTGTCTTTCTATAGGCAAATCAAGTCCATTGATATTAAGAGATATTAAAGTCCAGTGATTGTTAATTCCTGTTTTGTTTGGGTTTTGGTCGTGGTGGTGGTGATAGCATGTGTGTGTCCCTACTCTGGTTTCTGCTGATGTGAGATCATCTAATGCCTGTGTTTTTTTGGGAACAGTTAACTTCCTTGGGTTGGAGTTTTTCTACTAGTACTTTCTGTTTAAATCTGGTTTTGTAAGGAAATATCTTGTTTTCTCCATCTGTGGTGAGTGAAAGTTTTACTGGTTAAAGGAGTGTGGGCTGACATCTGTGGTCTCTTAGTGTCCGCAAAACTTCTGTTCGAGACCTTCTGGGTTTTGAGGGTCCCCTTTGTGAAGTCAGGTATGATTCCATTAAGTCTGTCTTTGCTTACTTGGCATTTTCCTTTACAGCTCTCAGTATTCTTTTTTTATGGAAAGAATACAACTTTTTAAAAAATATTTATTTATTATGTACACAATATTCTGTCTGCATGTTTGCCTGCAGGCCAGAAGAGGGCACCAGACCTCATTACAGATGGTTGTGAGCCACCATGTGGTTGCTGGGAATTGAACTCAGGACCTTTGGATGAGCAGGCAATGCTCTTAACCGCTGAGCCATCTCTCCAGCCCTCAGTATTCTTTTATTCCACATG